TATCTTTTCCACGTGCTTCTTTATGTAAATAGTCAGCTCCTGCATATCCATGTTTCATATGTGAATAGGGAAACCATGTGCTTAACCAGCACACAATTGCTCCATACATCTAGTTTGGTACCAATAATAGTTTTCTTCTCTTCCTATTCTTTCATGGATCTTGTGAGATGTTACAAAAAGGACATAGCTGCTATATAGCTTATAGCTTCCATATAACCTGCAGTGCCTGATCCTGCCTAAACTTGGAATCTAAGCAGGGTCAGGCCTGGTTGAAATCTGGATGGGTGTGTCAGAAAATCCCGGAATTTCAATTCATGAGGAGGAGATAAAACTCAGGTTCGTGGGAAAGATCAATCATCCAGACCATCTGTGGCTTTATTGTTTGGCCCAGGTTCCCATGGTAGACTCACGATAATGCATTACTGGTCATGCAGAGGTGAACTCGCTGCAAAGCCTCAATACAACTACGGGATATTTTATACCCTCCCAGTCATGTACACAGGCACAGAGCAATCAATGACAGAATGCAGGGATTACAATAAAATTCTGAGGCCATCATATACAGAACAGATAAAGGAATGTAAGTCAGTCATACAGTGACAATGAGATTACAACACCTCCAATTGCAGTGTATTGACGCTTCAGCTTAGTAACTTGAACCCATCTCCAGGTCTGCTTAGACATGTAAATTCAAGCTGCTGAGAAACTATTCATGAACTCCTAAGTTCATCTAGACTCAGACCATAAGTAATGCATCCGCACCATTCTGAATGGCCCGGGCACATGGAGCCCTCTGGGCTAGCAAAAGATACTTCCTGGTAAACTGAAATCCAACAATGATTATTTAATCATTGTGAAGGTATATAATGTATATTTGGACTAAATGGCCTGTCTACTGTAGCTTACAGCTAAAGGTGAGGGAAAGGAGCGGGGGAGGAATGCCATTTTAAACACTGACTTAGCTTAGTTTGAGAAGGAGTACAGGATTGATTCTACAATGCAGAAGCACACAGAAGCAATGCTTTTCTGACAGGATTTGTCCAAATTTTCCCAACAGGTGACATAAAAGTTGTGAACTCCCCAGAGAGCTTTGGCTATGGGCAGTATAGAAATGTATCATCATCATCATCATGGATGGTGAGAAATGCTGAGTGGTGCAATGCTTACCCATTGGTTTCTTTTGGAATGAGGTCACTGGAAGTTTACTAGCATTTTGTGATATTTATGTTTATTTATAGATATATAGGTTGGATGTAGAGCATTAAATGTTCAAGCATCAGATCTTTAGGAAGATGCTAGCACCAAAAAATCACAGAGAGCTCTCTAGGGCTGTTTGCACAATACAACAATTCAGGATAATTTATTTAAGCTATGGCCCCAACCGGAAATATTAAATCCCCAACCATGGGTTGTTGGGTCATGCAAACACAGCCAGTGGGCCATGTTTAACCCTCCTATAACCTCCACTGGCTATGTTCATAGAACTCAATAACCCGTGGTAACGCCTTGTATACTCCAGACTCATTGTGCAAACCCAGTGACCAGATTTGCATGATCACAGATAGAAAATGAGTTCACAGCTTATTCTAGGGTTTCGGGGCAGTTGGTGGAGCTGCCAGACTGCCATTCTCACTGGGTTTGATGAGACTTATCAGACAAGGCTGTTTATGTTAATCAGGTAGCTGGCAGGTGTAGAGAGGGCAATAAGCCACCATGGCTTATTTTATTTACTTATATTCCTTCTGTGGTCCTGTGAACCTTGAATTTAGCCCAGTCTCTGAGGCTGAATTCAAACTGCCCATCTATTGTTCTTCAACTGAACTCCTTGTTTACATTGTCCTTAGCTGGGCAGTGAATAAGGAGGAATACACCTCCTTTCCAGCACTCCTTTGTCCATTCCTTTGACAATACAGAGTGTTTGCTTTCAATCTTACATAACAAAGGCAACAATTAGCAGGACCATTCAGGTAATCTCCAGCAGTCCTCTAGGTGTCACCAGTTTAGCAGAGCCCATTTTTGCAACTACAGAATCAAAGGTTTGTACGGGAGCCCAACCCCAACCTTTAGATATGATTCTTAGGCCCTCCTGTTACCTCTCCTGCCAACCTTGTAGTTCGAAAGCATGCGGATGCAAGTAGATAAAAACGTACCACTTTGGTGGTAAGGTAATAGCCTTCCATGCACCTCGGTGTTTAGTCATGCCGGCCACATGACCATGGAAACTGTCTGTGGACAAAGGCTGGCTCCCTCGGCTAGGAAACGGAGATGAGCTCCACCCCCCAGAATCAGACATGACTGAACTTTAATGTCATGGGGAAACCATCATGGGGAAACCATCATATTACCTCTGTTCAGTTTTGGATTTCCTTTTGTAAAGTAATCACCACTGCTACCAAGCTCTGACTTCAATGTAGCCTTTCCCTGCCTCTTATTTTCCATCATGCTGTGATCAACAGTCATATTTAGCAAATTGGCAAAGAAAGATTTCAAATCAATATCCTGTAAGCCTGTGACCTGAGTAGAGCAAGAGTCTCTAAGCAAGTGAAAATACAAATGAAATTGTTTTTTCCTTGTTTCCATAAAGCAGTACAAATGCAGGGATCCAGAGACCACAACGTATAAACCCTGCATAAGGCTTGATCAGTATCCGAGAACTTTATTTTTGCTTAATTCAACTTTTGCTGGTATCATTTCAGGAGTAGAAAGGAAACAGTCGAAGTAAATCAATGTTAAAACATTGAGTGCTTACCTAGCATCACATTGAATTTGGCTGGATTTCCTTTTCTTTTTTACCATTCTTTTTAAATATCACTAGAATCCCTTGAACTTTAACTGAACCATAAGGCAACTCTGAAGTATTTAATAGCTACCCTCCAAGAATTTGACTTAACCACTGGATCTGCTATTTATAGAGCCCATTAGTACCAAATGTCTTGTTTTTGTGGTAGTCATTAACAGTAGAAAGACTGTTTCTGCTGCATTGGCTGCTCCTCATGTGTCGCCAAAAATATCCATCAAAAGAGTGCTTCAAACTGAACCTTACTTTATAAAATCCCCAGTGGTGATTTTTTTTTGTTTTTTTGTTTTTTTGGGATGCCGTACATTAAATGTTCCATTACTCAGCAAAGCATCTTCTCCCCACGCACCATCAGGACCTGGGTCACAGGCAGTCTCTGTCAGTTACCAAGAGCTGTGTGTGGCTGCAAGGGCAAGGCCTCAGTCTCTGGGATGAGGTCTGGGTGAGTGAGGTTAATGGCCCAAGGGTCATTCCTAAAACTGCAAGGAGAAAACAGAATGAGGAACTCAGAGGGGTCAAAGCTGTGGATGCAGAACCCTGTTAGAGAGCAGACAGAGATATGTAGTGAAATTATCTGCTTGACTGGAAGAGCAAAGGTAGCAAACTCAGAGGGAGGGAGGTCCAAGGCAGCTGTAAGAAGGCAAAGAGCAGCAGACTAAGATGATGAAGGCGTAAGATTTGGGCAACCCATGTTGGAGGAGCTGGCCAAATAGTGTTTCTCAGGCAAGAAGCTTCCCTGTAATTATGTATACCTGGAAGGAAGGATGGAAGCTGAAATGTGGATGAAGATGAAGTGATCCTGCACCCCACATACTGGGTGGCTTTGTCTGTCTCATGCCTACTCCCATAAGAAAGGACATGGAGCGGGCAAAGCACTTAGTGCACCATTTGCCCTTCCAAGTGGAAGGATATGCAGTGAACAACATAAGGAAAAGCCCCCTGTTATTGCCAAACATTGATCAGAAATAATGAAGATTGACCTAGAAGGGCAAACATGGAGTCTTCATGGGATGGATTAGGCCCATGGTTCAGAAGTTCCCCATCTCACCCCTGCCTTAGCACACAGGCCTCCCTTTCAAGGCCAACATGTACATGTCAGAAGTGTTTGGTGAGCTGATCTGGTTAGAGGAACCACAGGTTCAAAGGATCTCCAAGAGCACTGTTGTAACCCTTTCCCACTTGTACCTGTCAAATTTTATCCTCAAGCTCTTGTTGTCTGAATGGGGGTGTGGGTGATTTAAATTAGTATAGTGGCCAAACTCCCCCTCCCCCAGAGCTGCTGCTGTGATAAATATCTGACTTGGCACAGTTCACTTTAAGGGGTTGGGGGAGTAAAGTCAAGACATCTTGTGGCTGATCTCCCACATCCTGGTATTTTGGTGAGAAATGATCTATTTCAAGAGCCATTCAAGTGCTGCATGCATGAAGGGGCATCATTTGAACACTGGAGAGCAGGTGACCCCAATATTAGGTGTGCTACTTGTTTCCACACTAGACATCTGTGTGCTAGCCTGCAGTGAAGAAGCTTATGTGGGAGCAGTTGCCCACAGATAGCCTTCCACATGAACAGAATGCTGGCAGAACCAGTGCCCCGATTACACTGAACCCTGCTGCAGAGACTTTTGCTTTCTCACTGCTGACTGCCACATCTTGAAGTGGGCCACCAGCAAGCATGGGGGGAGGGACTTGCTCCCAGCAATTGAGCAGTGCCCTCCATGCCACATAATGCCACAGGACACACAGAATCACTGAGACAGCTAGAAACAGACGTGCCTCTGATGAAGAATCACAAGGGTTTGACAACACTTGTAGAGTCCTGATCTCCATCCAGCATCTTCCCTCTTGGAGCCCATGTGTAATTTGGAGAAAAAGTGCAAGGCTCTGGAGTTTGGGGTATCACTTGCTATGATGATTAATCCAGTCATGAGAATTAATTGTTGGTAACTAGGATTGTATGAGAATCCTGTCCTGTCATCGTTGTTACGTGTTTTGTTGAGAAATGGTTTGGAGGACAGTAACAGTCCTAAAACTGTTCTGGAGCAGTCTCCGACAGGTGTAATAGGACAACCATAATGGAAGTGGCTTCAGAACTGTAATATTAGTCTGCGATCATTGTTCACAGAGGGCTGCTTTTAAAGATCCCTAGATCTCTTACATTAATGTGCTTTTGTTTGTCTTGTTGTCAATTCTACTATTGTCCCAGAAGAAGTATCTGCAAGGATAGTCCAAGTAGTAACAGCTGAAGCTGTGGCAGTCCTAAAAGATGAACAGGAAAAAGAAGCCCAGCACAAAGATCAGCCAGCACCATTGCCTTTAGGTAAAACAAATTATCTCAGCTGTATGTTGTGTTATAAACATCAAGTGTTTGCACTGCAGCTGTGGCCTAGATTTTTTTATTCATTCATTCATTCTTTCATTGTTTCATTCATTCAAGAATTAAGAGCTGAGATGCTGACTTATTCACACTCTATAACAACAGGAACCCTCCCACATGATCACTTACTGCAGTTGTGCTTATTGTTGGGCACCCCAAGATTGGTCAATTACATATTCTGCTGCATTTGGGGAAATATGGCAACCTTCCATGATCCAGTTTTTGAAAACCCTTGATTAAAAGCTTGGATATGCATTTCAAAATCTAATGCTTGTTAATTCTTCCTCATGTTAAGCCATATATTCTGCCTATATTTTAATTAAAAGATACAAGATGGATGTGGGGATCACATTTGATAAGAATACCAAGTTTTCAAATTGCTGAAAATTCTTTATTGGGCAAGAAAAAAGTAACTAACCAATATATACCAACAATATCTAGTAACAGGAAAAATGGATTGTATCCTATTATGACTTTGTTAGCACAAAACACTTAACATGGCCTACTGGATGTGTTTGCATGACCCATAAGTCACCAAATGACCTCTGCTACAAACCAATGCAGCCCCTGGCAAAGCTGCTTCTGAGAGTTCACAGACCTTCCAGGACATGGCAAGGAGGACCAGGAGGAAGGATTGGTGAAAAACAGATTCTCCACTTGCTGTGAACAAAAGTTCTTTCAACTACTACTACTAGAGAGCAGTGCTGCATAGTGGTGGGAATGTTGCACTGGAATATGGGAGATCCAAGTTCTAGTCCTCCCTCAGCCATAAAGCTTACTGGGTGACTTTTGACCAGTAACTTACTATTTTTGTAACCTACCTCACGGGGTTATTTTGAAGATAAATCAGAGAGGAGACAGACAATGTAAGCTACCCTCAGTTGCTTGTAAGAAGAAAAAAGGCAGGATAAAATAATTATTATTTTCATTCAGATGAGCAAATAACCACATGTTTCAATTCTTAGCTGCAGCCAAAAGGAACTAAGTCCACATAATAAAAGTTGCCATTTTGTGGACACCATGACATTAACATTTGTATATTCCTTTTCCCCACTAAAAAGTGCACAATAATTTTAAGCCCTAATGCAAAGGGCCATTAAAACATTAACATGATTGCACAGTTTAAAATGCTAAATTAAAGAAATGAAACCCTAAATGAACCATGGTGGATTGGTTATTTGCTGAGCAAGACCCCATTGGACTAACCATGGTTTGTTCTCCCCTTGCTCCCCCTCAGTCCTCCAGATGGCTCTGGAAGGTATCCCTAGTGTCCTTCATGGCAGAACCTGACTTGTCTCACCACCCCCACCACCCCACTCTCCAATTGCTCCCTCTTTTCATTCCCCAACAAGTTTTTTCTCCCACGGAGTTTAAAAACAAAACAATTCAAGACTTTTTTCATCATTATTATCCCTGGAAACTCTCTATTGTGTTCACAATTTTTAATTATTATTTTCAAACTTGCACAAGTACAGTGTGACCATTGCCCAGTATGTGCGACCTTGCCTGTATTAACTGACGTGCAGGCAATGAAATGTGCTTACTAGCTTTGCTTGATTAATTTCCTTTTATGTTTCAGCTGTCAGAGGAGTGGGAGTGATAAACTGAAGTAGGTAGCATACATGGAAACTGATAATACTAAGATGCATGTAAGTTGATTTGTACACAGGTGTCAGGGACCAATAGCTAAGTATTCAGCTGAAATGCACCAGTAAAGGACAGAAGGTGGTGAAAGAAGGTGCATCAAAGGGAGAGCAAGCAGTATCTGCCTCTTAGAAAGGTAATCCTCTCAATGTAGAGTGTTGGATTGACACTTCTCAGTGCCCTCCACTAATGTTGCAATGAGGTTCTGCAGAATCCATCCTTCTTCAGTTCGCCAACTTCCTCTCATGCTCAGCACTGTCTTGGAAAGTGAGTGAAGCCAAGAGGAAGTCGGCAAATGCTTGTGGAGCCCCCATTGCACAACCAGCAACCTTCTTTTGCATCACATGTGGCACAAAGCCTGCAAGTGTAATGGTGGAAAAGTCAAAAGGTGGAAATTTGTACAAATTTAACAGCTGGAAAATAAATGGAGAGGGAATTTGTGCACTTGCAGTAGCCAGAACAGTAAGTACTCCAAAAAGAAATGATGCAAATGGAAGGCGTTAATATCTCACCTTTCTGGAGTAGCTGGAAATGAGGAAATGTTGAAAAGGTGGAGGGCACAGAGAAGTTCAACACTTTAAACAAAAAGGATTGCATTGCCAAGGGAGAAATGTTGCCCTCCCACCTTTGGTTCATCTTCTTATCAGTGCTTTTCAATGGATAACTTGGCAACTGGTCCCTGGCAAATTTACACAAATTAGCCTAAATGCGGTCATACTTTATCAGCTTCCTTGTTACCTAGCTGCTTCCTTTAACAACTGAAACACATATCAGAGAATCATAAGACATTTATAAAATAATGAGGGGGGTGATGTCAAAAGCAAACAGAGTGGCTCTGTTTTCAGGAGCCCCCTTTTTGAAGGGTTAGCAAACCAGTGATGGTAGTACAGGTGCAATCATGAAAAGTAGTGGGAGGTTTTGTCATTCTTGCCTAGTGGTCTGCTAACTTATGCCTACAACCCATGATGGAATTGCTCTCCTGAGTCTGGGCAACACAACAACTCACCATGATATGAACAACCCCTAGAAACAAGCCATGGATTCGTCAGGATGGTTTGTTGCCTCAAAACAAGTCACTCTGCAGGAAGCAGTCAGGGTTTGGACAACGCAGCAACCCATATTACATAGTTACCTGCACTGGGTTGTCATGTTGTGTGAACCAGGTCAGTATGTTATTTGGACATCACTCTTGCTCCTGTTGAAGCTGCTGTTTTACCCCTGTCCAATTTACACATAGCATGTGGAGTAGTTGGATGTTTAAAAGGAAGTCGGTGTTGAGGGTCTTTCCTGGGCCACATGCAGGTCTGTAGTCAGCATGTTTCAAAGTTGGGCCTGAAACACTCAAACAAAAAATGAAGCTGGTTCTAGAAAGATCTTTTAACCAAGTTTAAAAATTATGAAAGTAGTAAAATGCTACTGCTTCAAATATATGCAAGTGAATTTACCTTGCAGCTGGGCAGCTCTAGATATGGAATTTTTATTTTGAATGATGTAAAAAAATATTTCTTGCTTAAATATTTGCCCTGCTTTTTGCGTGTGAATGAGCTTTTCTTTAAGGCATGTAAGAATTATATTGCCAAGCTTTTCAACAGCTGTGATATAAATAAAAACAAATGTTACCTTCATGTTATATAGCCTATTATGAGACATAATACTATGCCTAAAACTATTATGAAATATTTCAGTAGATTCATTAGCTTAATACTGCATCATCTGAAATGAATAGTTACTATTGTTGGTACAAGACAATATTAAAGTCTCAGACGGAGTTCAAATGGAATGCTGTCAGATGCTGCCAGGCTGTTATAATGTAGACTGTCCAGTTGCCATCTTCTGGATTCAAAGTAATTAATTGCTGTGTCTCATTTCTATTATTCAATCTTTAGCAGTCGAAGAGACAGCTAACCTGCCTCCTTCCCCACCCCCATCACCTGCTTCAGAGCAGACTGGAACATTGGAAGAAGGTAAGAATTCCCTTGGGCACTGCAGGGTCCACCTTTAAGGAGAAAAATCCAGGAATCCTAGTGAGAGAGGTAGGAAGATGATTCTGTCAGCATTAATTTAAAGGCATGAGCCTCTTATTTCTTTGTAATAGTAAGTTATGAATTCACATGATTGTAAAGCACAAACCATTTCACTATGAATATTCCATGAGTGTATTTATATACACGATATTTGAGGGTGTATTTTAACTTGAAAATGAGAGCTATGCATGTAAGAGTTGCTGAGAAAAGGAATTTATGCTAGCAGCAGCTTCTCTCATCACTAACTGTATGAAGATAAAAGCTACAACTGAGAAAATTACCTCTTCCATGCTATAGTTAGTATATAGCAGGAATGAGGAACATGTGGCCCTCCAGATGTTATTGGATTGAAGTTCCCATCACCACTTACCATTGGTGATGTTGGCTAGAGCTGGTAAGAATTGTGGTCCAGCAGCATCTGGAGGATCACGTTCCCCATCCCTTATACACAGGATGTCTCTTAAGGTCTGAGCTGGACAAGCATAATTACAACCCAGTATATCCTTTCACAGATAATTCCAGGTTCATCTTCTGAATATACCATTGCCAATGTTTTCTGGTAATTCAAGAACAACAAACCAATTCAGCAGGTGACACTTTTTCAAGCACTATATTTCTGTGACAAACAGTTTCAGTTGCTGGATTTCCTTTTTCCATCTTCCCTTAAACTTACTTTATTTTAAATGTAGACACAAAAGGCTATATACACAGTAAACATAACATTTTAACAATGTAATATGTAAAATATACTATAATAAAAATGAAAAAATGATATGATGACTCTTCCAAAATATTGGAAGATATCTTCAATATCAGGATACCATCATGTATATTTCCATATTCAGTGATTTGTGCTTAAACATCCTGAAACCATTAGTCTCAGAAATACAAAAGGACAAAAAAGTTGGCAACTCCAACCTGGTAATAAAAAATTGAATAACATTCTATTTTTATTGAGATTTCTTTAGGGGAAAGGAAAATCAAATCTTCCAGATCAGCATAATACTGCAAACCTTTGTTATTTCTATGTATTATTCCAAGAATCCATGTGTTTCTGTTCTCAAATCCATTGAGACTAAATTCTCTTTTAATCTGATGAGATTTAAACTTGCAGAAGAAATTTGATCTCCCTGTGCTGTACAACTCAGAAACTCCATTAACCTCCACCCGCAAAATCCCCAGATCCAAAGCTCTGTTCAAGAAATATCTCTTTTAGTTAATAAAGGCCTGTTTCAGCAGATAGGGTTTATTTGCATGCTTAGAGCTAAGTGTACACTTGAGAATTTGATTGAACAGGGATTAAGTACCAAAGAGGCCATTAAGTTGTATTCCGCCATTTCTTATTATTTACTGTTTAACACTGATGCTGGGATGGGCTTGAATGATATGGAGCAAAAATAAGCCATGATCATTTATTTCCCCTTTCTGCCCTTGGCTGTTGCAGACTGGGGATTTGCATAATTACCTCAGCAGTACAACTTGTCATATCATGCAAACCCAACCAAGATGGCTTGTTGTCTTGGGTAACAAGCCATCCAGCTGTGGCCATCTTCTGGGACTTTCACGTGGCACAACAGGCCACAGTGCTGAAGATGCCAACCTGCCCACCATGCAGCAGACACTTACGACATGCCACTGCTGGGATTGTGCAAGCCAGGCCAGTGTCACTTAAGTGCCATGAAATTTAGGTTATTGTATAACTTCCCCATGCCAAACAGTCTCTTTCAAAACCATTAAAGAGGCAGAAGCCCTGTGTTGTTGTTTTAAACATGCGAAAGGAAAGAGGGCTACCCCATTACATTAGATGATCCAAAACCAACCAGTCCAAAAGTGTTCGGAAGCTGCCTTTTAAATATCAAACATCCAGCCTAAAATAATATCAAATGTTTAGTGTATTTCTATCTCCCCAGGTACTTCTTTGAGAAATTCTAACACTAATATAGGGTATCATTACTTCCATGTTTTTCAACCTTCTGAATGATAGAAAATATTTTGTAATACAAACTACTTCCAGGCACTTTGTGGAGGGTCCTTTCTGCTCTCTGAAGGATAGCCACTTTACACAGAGCTGAAAAGAGGCTATACTCTTCAACTGGAATCTAGTACATAGGCCCAATTCAGGCATAACAAGAAATCAAGGTTCCAGAGGAACTCTGGCTTGTCACACTCAAGCAGCTTCTACTTGGCTCCTCCTGTAAATGGGGCAGCAGCCGAAGAAACTTCAGGCCTTCTGCTTGTGATTTGTTTTCAGGAATGCTGGCTTTTCTTTCCCTAGACAAGTTGGACTTGTAAGTCAACAACAGCCCAGTGTCTGGGGAAAGACAAGGCAGGGTTTTTGGTTCAGATGTCATGCTAAACAAACAATGGATAGAAGGTTGGTGGTTTGTTTAGCCACTCATACTTGTAGGAGGTACCAAGCAAGAGCAATTGGGCAGCATGAACAGCACACTGCTCAGGCCCATCAAGCCAGTGCTCCCCTGAAACCCTGGCATTTTAATATATCCAAACCCAGCCTAGAGCTGGCTTAAGCACATTGAAATTAAAGGAGATATAAACACAAAGAAGAAGATATGTATACCATGCAACTGCATGTGTTAGGGTAGCTTCATGTATTTCATACATGTGTTACAAATGCCATTTCACAGCCTGGATATTTGAAATCTATATCCCTTTTTTATTCTTTCCATGATAATCCTTTCATCCATGTAAGCAATACCTGTGAAGAAACCTTATCTGGGTTGAACTAATTACTGCATAAGTGAATTGTCAGCCATTTGGGCAAATCTATTTCTCAGAAGCTGAGGTTTGAGATATAGTGATGTTCTGTTATTAATATTAATTTAATATTTTAAGAATGTAGATTGTTATAGCACAAAAGCATGAGTTCTCCTCAGCTAATATATGTTATATCCATTTTTAATTACTATAGGCCAGGGAGAGTCAACTGGGTGGTCTGAAAATATTTTGAACTACTGCTCATCAAATGCTCAGCCAGCATTATTAGTGAACTTGTGAGAGTTGTAGTCCAAAACATCTGGAGGACACCAGGTTACCTACCCTATTATAGGCACAATGCAGATGAAACCATGCACTGTAAAGTCCAATTGATTACCAAAATCTCAGTGGACAAGTTAAGCATATCAATATCTTCCATTGAAATTAATGGGTAAAAATATGCTGAACTTTGCCTGGTTCATGTCTCTTGTTTTTAATGAAAATCTGTAACTAGATGCTTACTTCCTTTTCTTTTTCACAGCTGTTATTGGGCCAATCTACATCTTTACTATTTTTATAAAAGTGTAACCTTGGGGTTACCTTGTACTAACAATCTCCACTTGTTATGTGTAGAAGAAAGTGCATAAGGTTAGAGATGAGCTTCATGTTCAGCAAAGCATGTTTAGAGCCCTCTGCCACTTCCAGAAGGAAATAAGGATTGTACATATGAATGCCCGAGTATATCCCCTGCCCCCCACAAAACACCCTTCTTTTTGTGAAAAATCTTAGCTAAGGCAAAGAACGAAGTTTCTCCCTAACAGGCCAACTTTCCAGAAGAAAGGTGTTTTCGATATGGGGAGCATTATATCATGTGAAGAGGTAGAAACCCAGAAAAATATGACTCTTTAACATGTGTAAATGAGCCCTTAAATGGCTTGTTTCATGCCAACATGGCTTTGACAATAATGGCAGACACTAATGATTAACGGAGTACTTGGTTAATTAGGAAAAGCCACTCAAAGGAGTCATTATTACTACCTTCAAATGTGCTTTTGAAAGTGGAGCAAGTGAGTAACTTTCTCCTGAGGATATTTTCAGTCACCCCCAAATCCTGTGTCTTATGAACTGGCCCAACCTGGGAGACAACTTCATGTTGTGGAAGTTCTTGATTCCGTGCAAGCTGGAGATAATGCAATGGTTAGTCAGTTAAATCTGTGTGTCAGATATCTACATAGTAATTAATGTCACAACTGTTACCGAATGTTGTTGTGTGTGCTGAATGAGCATTTGCAAGTTGAACAGTGCATTGCTTTTATTGCCCACCAATGTCCCACCTTAGGCATCATCACCTTAGTGATGAGCCAATATTACCCAAGACACTGACTTTGAGAAAATTGAACACTCCTTGTTTAAGGGTCTGCTGGGCTTTTGGTCTCAGGAGCATGTTGTAACAGTTTTAGAAACAGATAAGTTCAGAGTCAAATTTAAATGGTAGCAGAACTTGGTGATCATTAATTCTAATGATTGTTTTTCCATTTGTTTTAATGCTGTACAAAATTACACTTAACTTGAGAAATATTAAGGCTCTTAAATGCCAAATTTATTTAACTGCTAGCTTGGTGTTCTTTGTGTTCACATTCTGTGTATTAGTAGAGATGAAACATCTCCAAGTCACTGTGACTCAGTAGATCAAGTTGTTCCTAGTTGTTCCTATTTCTATGCTTTATAATATGTATAATAGAGAAAACAATATTTATAGAAATCAACTGCAGGGTCAGTGTTTATTCAGGATTCTTAATCTGTGATGCATGTATGTTTATTCATTACAGTATTTTAAGATAGTCAAGCTTTCTGCTTTAAGTCTTAACAAGAAAAAGAAATATTTGTTCTCTGTTGCAGCTGAACATCTATTTAACCAGTTTTAAATACACACACCATGAAAACAAGAGCTTATAAGAAATATACTGAACCAATCCAGAAACAGTTAAGCAATTTTAAATACCATTGATTTCAATAGGAAAGTTAAGCTGCAATCCAATACCTAGGAGTAAGCTCATTTAACTGCATATTGCTTAGCTTTGCATTAAGTAAGTGCAATGCCGAAAAATCTTAAGCAAGTTTACTTTGGAGCAAGTTACAATGAACTCAGCTGGAGCTTGCTTCAAAGCAAGTCATCAAATACAACAAGGACTACCACTCTTCAGTAGTGGCATTTAGGATTCCAG